TATTTATTTTAATGTGATGACTAAAAATATCTTATATTTTTAAAATTAAATATTAAAAATACTATAAATGACGTAACACTGGCATTGCAGAAAACATGAATGCATAAATAATAATTTAATGYATCAAAATATATAAATTGATAAATAAAATTGTTCTAGACATTTTTGACATAATATCAAATTCTAATATTCCATCATCCATGTTCTATAATTTACAGAAAGAAATAAACCAGCATAACACACCAATAAAAATTAAAAAATTAAAACTAAGTAAAAAATGTTCAAACAATCGTACTTACAATAGCGGTTTTTTATTGGCCAACGGTAGCGCGATTGCCGAAACACGTAACGGACGGACCCTAACACGCGACTGCCGGGTACCGGAACGTCCGGAATGGAAAATAAAACGCGGTAAAAACCGGTGACGCCGATCCCAGTGTCGTGAACTTTCGGGCGTCATCGTAATATTATTACGATTTAGCATTTGCGTGTATATGGTATAACACTATTGCGATTTGTTATATCGCCTATATTGGATACAAAAAATTAACAATTCAATCAGTATTATAATATTACAAAACTAYTATAACCAGTAATAAAAATAATGTATTTATWGAATATATATCAAGTAATTAAAAAGAAAATATACAATGTATTTGATCAAAATAAAAAGTAATGATGTTATTCCTTAAAATGCGTTTCAACAATAATTTCAACGATATTTATTTTTATGCACATTATTTTAATACAAACTTATKATAAGAAGCATATTTAAATTACTCGTTTAGTCTAATCGAGTTTGATTATAGCAGATATTAAACWGATTTTTTGTCATTTATTAATGAAAAAAATTTATTTCGTAGAAAGTCGATTATAAAATGATATCGTTTTACATACAAAAAATAAAAATTTCTTATAGTGTTTATTAATATTAGATTACAGTTTAATAAAATTTTGCATATTAATTTTGAACAAGAATATTTTACACATTATTCTTACAAAATAAATTTTAATTTGAACGACGATAATTATTACTATAGTTATATGTATTATGGTAATGTATTATATGCAATCGATTCTTTATTTATTTTGAGAACTTATTTATATAATAATAACTAATTAATGTGTTCAATATCTTTTTATTTTTTAAAGTGCATTTTATTAAGCTTATGTTTAATAAATATAATATTAACATACAATAGTGGTATATATAT